GGGAACACCTGGCTGTGTCCCCACATCCCCTGAGCGCTTCACCTCTCTCCCACCCTCACGACGTCGGGGTGAGGGCTGGAGGTGGCACCCCGGGGTGGGCGGCAGGAGGAGGGCACAGTCTCCTCTGGCCAGACACCAGGGCACTGCACACCAGACCCCGTACTTCCCAGCTGTCCTGCAGCTCTGCGGCTTTTTTACTTGCAAAATTTTACTCACCGGGGCAAATCGGACCCATGCGGGGGCTTGCTCCGAAGCCTGCCCGCGCTTTCCGACGGTGCCGGGATGGGCGTGCGGAGTCAGGCCCTGCTCCGAGAGACTCGACTGCCTCCCCACAGAAAGGGGCATCGCTTCCAAGGGTTAATGTTATTTTGAGATACCTCTGCATTGCAGTTGCAAATCTGAGCGGCTGGGAGTAACCTGCTAAACAGGAAAGAGCTCGTTAAATATATACTGTCACTGATTTGTAAGACAGTGCGGAGGCAATATAATTACTGTAATTATGTCAGATACTTGCTGCAGAGTTGCCATTTGTGTTGGGACTTTTATCCTCTCGCTATGGCAGGAGGATTAAAAAACCACATACACCTGCCAATAGAGTTGTGCCACAAGTAACTTACTCAGAAGCTGTTGTTTGATCCTTCTCTTTACAGACCATGGAGCACGTTAAGCCTATCATCGCATTAGGGATGAAGGGGAGGTAGGCAAGGCTTTTGGGTAGCGTGCTGCTTGCTTCACACCCATGGGGGACGCAGATTTTGGCTGTAAAGGTGACCCGGCGGATGCTACCCTGGCCAAGACCATGTTGCAGTGAGAAAGTTTATACCCATAGATCACAAGAAGCTGCTGGAAGGGAAGTTTTGGTTTTTGCTCATGACTGCCGTGACAGATGTAAGTATGGCTTACACGGTCTATGGACCATAAAATACCGGCTTATATGGCGCTAAGTTGGGAAAGGGAAACTACAAGGAGGAGAAATATTTGCAAGGCACACAGGTATCTTAAAAGGGGAAGGAGCTGCTCGCCATGACCTGTGATGAGCAGGGCGAGCACCTGGGACGTGAGGGTTGCTGTTGTAGGGAGGGGGGCACCCGGATTCTCAGGGCACTGAGGCGATTTGCTGGGGGGTCCCAGAAGGTGGCATCCTCAGCCGTTCAGAGGGGTGCCGGGGCCCGACCAGCACCCACTGCAGCCTACAGCTGGAGCTGGGAGCACCCCAAAACCCGTGAGTCCCAGGCAGGTTTCATACAGCACCTCTGCAGTGAAAGAGGTGGCAGATGAAGTACCTTTCCTTGCAGAAGCCGTTAACCAGTTATTAATGGGCTACAGCAACAACTCCGTGTGCTTAAAGAGAAGGGAGAAAATGGGAATTTGGCAGAGAGCTTTCCCTTCTGAGCACACCAGGCTGGAGGAAAAAGATCCTCTTGCTTAGATAATAAGCAGGTTGGACAAATATAAGGCAGCAGAAAAATAGGCTGGCTCTCGAGAGATCTTCAAAGTAACAAGAAAAGCAGCTTTGCTCGGAGAGTTTCATCCCAGGATCTTGGCCCAGGGAGAGCAGGGCCTCTGCGGCACTGTGGAGAGGGAGGGCTGGGGAGGGAGGTGAAAACAAGGCTGAGCCCAAAGCAGCCTCACTGTTTTCCTCCTTTGAAAAGTGTTAAATTCTACAGAAAAGCACACTGCTGATTCGGTAACGCTATCGTTGCTGCTGTTATTTAACTCCCTATGCATTTATTAAATGTAAACCCTGAGATAAAGGTGCTTTACAGCAATAAAACCTCAAGCCACTTCCATGAGGGAAGTGTTGATTGCATCTCACACAAGGCTGAGCCGAGGCACAGGCAAAGTGGCCTGTGCAGTGTCTGACCCCAGCAGGGACTGGGATGTTTTGCATCTCAGCCCTGCCTCTTCACCACCATCTTGCCTTGTTCTCCCCGTTGCTTGGCTTCTTTGTAAACAAACACATAAAAATTGAATTTAAAAGAACTCACTTTTAGCTTCATAAAAACAAACAAACAAAACCATAACTCACCAGCAGACAAGTTATTAGTCTCTGATTCAGACACGTGTGATTGTTTCCCCAACAACTTCTTCCCCCTCTTCATTCTCAGTAGCTCTTCCATCATTTTCAAGGTCTTGTATGAGTAAGTCAGAAAAGAGACACACTGGAAAACCCTGTAATAAGAGACCTGAACAGTAATGAAGTGAGCAGATTACAAGTTCTGCCAAGGTGTGTGGATTACATTTACCTGTCTGTGCTGATGACAGTGCTTCTTCTGAATGCTCTTCTTCCACTTCTTTAGTAATTACAACACATGTTTAGAAATGGCAGTAGGTGTAATGAGAATGACTGCACCTATACCAGTATTAACACTCTCCCTATTTAATTTACTATGCTGTATATACGCACATCTGGTGCTGTGAATGGCCACAGCGTTTTTGCAACACTTACACTGGCTTCAGCGGAAAGTGCTTTTGACACCCAAGAACCAAAAAAACAGGACAGAAATGGCAAACCACAGCAAATGATATATTGTCTTTATTCTGCTGAGTTGTTCAGCGAGGCGCTGGGGCACAGAGCAAGACATGATACTCCAAGCAATTCCAGCTCTTGACACCGTTGCTTGCCTACAGGGCAGTACCAAAGCAATAACTAGAAAGTGTGAGCACATTGCCCCCAAGGGCTGCTTCACCTGCATCAGCTGCCGTCCCATTTTATCCTCTGTTATTTTGAGAGAACATTAGTCCTTCTTTTTCGTTTATTTTTGGTTTTCTATTGATCCCAAGGATCCTGTTTACAGAGTTTGGTGCTTTGATGACCATAGTTTCTTCTCTGCTGAGGGTCTCCTATTGCCTCAGAAAGAAAATTATCTTTCCATTTACTTAATAAGGCTGCTCCAAGCTTAAGTCATTGGCCTGGCAAGAGGATGCACATAGGTCAGTTAAATTTACCACTTGTGACAATACTTTACTTCTCTGTTTCTCATCTTCCCCTACAGGTTTAGCTGGTGTTCCATGTGTAACGTGCTTTGGGATTTGTGTGTGGAAGTGCAATGGAAGCCACACACACACGCAGAGCAGCTCAAGGGCAGAGTTGCCAGGGTCTTACGGCACCTCTTCTGTTTCCCTGAGAGAAAAGCCTCCTTGCTGCCTCTGAAGGTGGCTTCCACCATCACCAGTGGGTGATGTGCAGTTTTAGCAGATCCCAGCATCGTCTGTATTTTTTCAGTCCCATGTGACGCACAGACTGGAGCAATGCTGACACTGTTGGCCTGGGTCATCATGCACCGACTTCAGGTCCATCTCCCCTTTCTTCACCCTGCTAAGGTTGAAGTGGACTAGTGTACCTTGTTCAGAAGACTCTAGACATGTAATTGGGACTGACATATGCCTGGGTCTTTTCCACATGTGGTGGTTTCTTTTTCTGCCTAGAAATTTGGGATGGCATTGGAAGATTTTGAGCATTTGCCCAGAACCTCTGGATATCCAAAGTAATTCTGAGCCGGCTGCCAGACACCTCCATGTCCTTGGCAAATGGCCATGGTCCATCTGCAGGTCAACTTCACACAGTACGTGCAGTAAATCCCCCCCACACATACTGTGTCAAAACTTGTGCACATTTGCAAGGCATCTTTTAACATATTTCAGACCCAGAAATCTGAGACAGAGAGATAGCTGGGGACATGGAGCAGGGGAATGGGACTTTCAAACTGCCTGGTTTGAGTAATTGTAATTATATCATTTTGGCAAATAGCAGCCCACTGTCAAGAAGCATGAATGCAGCTAGTTATTTATCAACAACTTAGTATGGATTGTAAGCATGCTTTTTATTGGGGTGATTATACATTTCCCTTTTCTGTTCTTTACAGCTCTCATCTGTTTGTCCCCAGCAAGCTTGTCTGCCTCAGCCTCTCCTGAACTCTGAAAACCAGCAAAGGTTTCATGCCTAACAGAAGGTGCATAAAGTCATTTGGATCATAAAGATGCGGTGGGCATATTTCTATGCAGCAAATGCTCAAGAATCTGGCCTTCCAGATAGTAAATACCCATGTGCTGGAGGATCCAAACACTTTGGCTGTTAATCCAAAATAGGACTAAAAATCCTTGGGAAAAAAGACCTCACAATCCACATGGTCTCATTTTGAATATACAGACTGCCAATCATCGCAGTTGCTAGCAGTGTCAGCACAGGGATTTCATCTACCACTCATCCGCCATCCGTTCCCAGGTAGCTCTGTGTGATCAAGCAATTCTCATAGCCTTGGCTCATTGCTGCTCTTGCAGGTGGGTGTAAGGTCAAAACCACCAGATCCTCTCATTTATTTATCCTAAGACCAGTCATGACAGCACAACTTGCAGTGCTGCAAGCCCCTGTGTTCCTACATCTCTTTTTCTGTCTGGTGCTTAGAAAATATTAGGCAGTCCCTCTTGCATGGGTTTCTTTCCATTTGCCTTTCTCCCCACCCGATTTTCCACACTAAGTGAGTTATTTCAGACTAAACAAGCTATTTCTCATTCACTCTATTAATATTTTCACATTCTGGCTCAGGCTTTCCCACTCTATGGCAGTCTTTCATCTTATAGTGGTTTGTCTTTTAAAATACTAGTGCAGGAATTAAGCGATACTGTTTGCAGAAGGCATGGAGACCGCAAGTGTGAAAAGTGACTGCAAAGGGCTGCAGAAAGATGTATCCATCTGGTCTGGTGAAGAAAACGATACAGCACTTAAACTGCTAGTAAAGCTTTTCTGTTGCTTCATGCATGGCCCAGCTCCCATTTCCCTCTGACTTCATTAGCGTTTGGCTGAATCCCAGTTCCTTTTGGAAATAATTAATTGCAGAAAAGCTATGCTTATTAGTGTTATTCAGCCCCAACTGTATTTACCACAAAAGCAATTATCAGGGAGCTGTGAGATGGCTTTCCTACTCAAAAAGATTGATTTGACTACAGGAAGAGCCAGGAACCAGCATTTCCCATGGCCTCCAAAAGCTGGGGAATGCCTTTCAGCCACAAAAGCCCATGTGGACGTCCTGTCTCTCTGTCCATGTGCTGTTCCCACCATCGCTGGTCCTGTGCCGACGATCACGTGGAACCATGTTGGAAACACGCATTTCCCAGAGCCGTACGGCAACGTGCTGCTTGTCCGTGGCTCCAGAAGCTGAGAATTGGAAAGGGGTCATGAGCGTCAACCAACATTTACCAGCTTTTCTCCATGTCACTTCACTGCTAAGAAAGTTTTAATGCTGAAGAGTAATGTGTTAAGAGCACACGCTGGTGGAAGCAATTAGATTCATGGAATCACAGACTGGTTGAGGTTGGCAGGGACCTCTGGAGCTCATCTGGTCCAACCCCCCTGCCCAAGCTGGGCCACCCACAGCCAGTTGCCCAGGACCATGTCCAGACAGCTTTTGAGTATCCCCAAGGATGGACACTCCGCCACCTCCCTGGGCAACCTGTGCCAGTGTTCAGTCCCCATCACAGTGAAAAAGTGTTTCCTGATGTTCAGAGGGACCCCCGCCATGTTTCAGTTTGTGCCCATGGCCTCTGGTCCTGTCACTGGGCACCACTGGAAAGAGCCTGGCTCTGTCCTCTTTGCACCCGCCCTTCAGGTATCTATATATGTTGATAAGATTCTTCCTGAGCCTTCTCTAGGCTGCTCAGTCCCAGCTCTCTCAGCCTTTCCCTGTAGGTGCTTCATCCTAGAAGGTGCTTCATCATCTTTGCAGCCCTTTGTTGGACTCTCCCCAGTATGCCCATGTCTCTCTTGTACTGGGGAGCCCAGCACTGGACACAGCACTCCAGGTGTGGCCCCACCAGTGCTGAGCAGAGGGGAAGGATCATCTCCTTCAACCTGCTGGCAACACTTCTCCTAACACAGCCCAGGGTACCATTTGCCTTCTTTGCCATAAGGGCACATTGTTGGCTCGTGGTCAACTCACTGCCCACTAGAACCCCCAGGTCCTTTTCTGCCAACCTGCTTTCCAGCTAGCTGGGTGTCCCCCAGCATGTACTGGTGCCTGGGATTGTTCCTCCCCAGGTGTAGGACTTTGCACTCCTTGTTGAGCTTCACGATGTTCCTGTCAGCCCATTTCTCCAGCCTGTTGAGATCCCTTTGGATGGCAGCACAACCCTCCGGTGCATCAGCCACATCTCCCAGTTTGGTGTCATCAGCAAACTTGCTGAGGGTGCACTCTGCCCCATCATCCAAGTTAACCGTTTGTAGCAGCAACTCAGTGATAAGGACTTGGCTGTCTCTGCTCTTTCCAGGAACTCGGAGGCCTCCCTCTTCTCTTCTAGCAGAGACACCTGCTTCCCGACAGCTTGGTGAGGCTGGAGCTTCGCAGTGCTTGTCCGTCCAGGAGGAACGTGCAGCCCCTTCGTCTCCATCTGAACTCCCAGCCATTACTGAATTTGAGAGTTGCCTGAATCTGCTGGTTTGCTTTTAAATGGTGCCATTCAGCCCGCTCTCTGCCACATCGCCTGGTTGCATCCATGTTTCAGAGTCCAGCTGCAGCGCAGAAGGACTTGGGGTTTGCTCACCACAACATGGAGGAGCATGAGGTGTCACTGCCGCGATGAGCACTGCAGGTTTTCTTTAACACTCACTGGCATAGGGAAGAAATGGTTTTACGGGCGACCACATGCTTCACTTTAGAAAGTGTTTACCCAGCTATTCCCTTCTTGAATAATCTGCTCCCCTGGTCTTTCCCACTGGCACAACTCTGGGATGGCATCACCTCCAGATGGCCTGGCCAGATCTGGAGGATGCTTGCTGGAGGCCTGCAGAGCATCCTCCCCAGGCAAATTGTTGAAAACACTAAGTATTCCTGAAATCCTTAAAAGTCCTTTTTAAGAATGAAAAGAATAATGAGAGAAAAAAGAGTGTTTTAAGGCCATGTCTAAACACTGCTAGAATCTTTCTTTGTCCATGCCCATAGTCACTGTTCTCAGGTATTTGAGAAAACCCATAAAACATAATAAGATCCCAGTTCCACTATATTTTTAACTGTGTTATGGGACAGCTATGTTGCAAGTGGACTACTGGTGCGGCTTTATTGCTGATATAGTATTTTGCCATCTGGACCTTCCCACACAATAAGTAAGTACTTGTAAGTACTCGCCTTCTCTCCCCACTTCAGATAAAACATCTATGAGCTCTTTAACAACTGCAGAAGCTACCAGTATTAGTTAGGGTGTGTTACCAGCTTCCAGCCCGGCTCCTTGCAAGTGTTTTGGAATAGGGAAGGGATCCCACCTCTGCAGCTCTTCCTTAACATAGAAAGAGGGGTGGGCAGGACTGGTTGGGCATGCTTCTCATGTCCTGAGGAGTTTAACTGATACAAGCAGTCAGGATCCAGCTCTTTTGTCAAAACGGGTAAAAAAAAAAGAGAATGCTGATCTAATGTAGTAAAATGCAAACAGTCCAAAGTAATCCTTTAGATATGGCACCAGCAATTTACAGTTTAATAAGAGAGGTCCATTTCTCCAGCTCCTTGGAGGCTGTGGCTGATGTTTAAAAGCAGCAAGAGGGTTATTTTGTCTCTCACTGCTGCTTTCTTCTGGTTGGCTCTGGGGAATGAGAGAAAAATCATACCATGGATAGTCTCTCCCTTTGATTGCAATTGCAGTACTGGACATTCAGATGCCAAGATAACAAACACAGCAGAGTTGCTTAGTGAGATAAACTGGCCAGGTAGATTTTAATTATGAACATTAATTGATGAATGAGGGGGACAGAATTACTGATAGCATCTAACACAAGAAACGCTGACACCAAAAAGGTTGTTTAGGACATATAACAATCCAAACAATGAGAATTTACTGATGCCAGGGTCTGTCTCTTCCATATGAACCCATAAAACTTTCCAGATACTGCTGAGAGCGGGAATGCTTTTGCTGAGGCAGTAATAAAAATAATAAACAGGTTTCCCTAAACTCCTACCAGGTTCTAATAAAAGCTTGTCTAGCAGTGAAGTGGCGAGCAATTGGGACTGCTGCATACCTGGGCTGCCCGGGAAGCCCTCAGGGCAGCCTCCAGCAGGCTGCAGCCAAGAGTTTCTTGTGTTTCTTGCGTTGGCTGTCCTTGCGTGGCCGTGCCCCGTGCCAGCCCTGGGACCGACGTGGCAAGGTTAGAGAGAGGCCTGGGGAGCAGGGACGTGGTACTGCACAGCAGCGGCGTGACGTTGCATGGATGCTCCCTTCTGCCTGCTTTGCCCTGGGTTTTCTTTTTGTGGGCAAACAGTGGAGCTGGTTGTGGTGTTTGATGTCCCTCGCAGTTACAGAGATTATCCTTTGGCGTGGGAGGATTTTCACAGCACCATGACCTAAAAATCATGCAGGACCTCTCTGATGGATTTCCAGGTGCTAAAAGACTTCTAGTCCCTTGGAAATGGCTGGTTGGCTGGCACTCAGTGCAAAACCCTGCAGCAGAACTTGGTTATAGGGGAATTAAGGTTGCCTCTGGTACGTTGTATTTATGGTCACATACTTCAAACCTCTGAAGACTTGGAAAGGCTAGCGATTAAAACTAAATTTCTGGAAACCAGGAAATGCTGACCGCTTAAACCAGGGAATACTGACCACTTAAACCAGGGAATACTGTTCATGCCAACACAGCTAGCTTCTTTTGATGCCTTCTGAATTTTGTAGTAGTGGAGACTAGTAGCTTCATCCATGCCCCTCAGGACTTTACAGACCTTGTTCATTTCTGTCTCCACTCACCTCTTTTCCAGGCTGAGCTGTGCAGGACCTGGCCCACCTTTCCCGCTTCCCGGGTTCCCATCACTGCATCCTTTCTGCTTCCAGAGGTGGAGATACCAGACTCACACACACCGTCCAAAACGTGACACACCATTGACTTCTACAGTGGCATACTTACATTTTCTGCTCTACTCTGTTTCTTTCCAGCTAATTCCCAACATTTGTTTTCCTTCTCTGGCCCCCTTTGATCACTGTGCTGATGTTTGAAATGCTCTATGATGTCTTACAGCCCACCAGCCGCGCTCCTGGCCATAGAAGTCAGTGCAGACCCCCTGGCAGGGCAGGGGAGAGGGACGAAGGACGGATACCCTTCCCCAGCAGCGCAGTGTGGGGAAGGAGTTGGATGTGTGGAGCTGGCTGGTCTGAGCACTCCTGCTCTGCCCACCCGTGACACCCCCCTTGCCTTGGCTGGGGCTTTCCCACCCCTTCCCAGCCTCACCTTCCCCCCCAGCCCCTCACCCCGTCCCGGCTGCCCCTGGCATTCCCTGCACTCACCCTCCTCTTCCAGGGATCCGTTCCAAAAAAAGGGATAGGCATCCAAATATATCGCCAGCACCTCATGCGCAGAACACCTTGACATTAAGCTCACACAGACTCATTGCTCTGGGAGCGTAATTACCTGGCTATGCCTTTTACGTTCCTTGTTGCTAAATCACAGCAAAATGATTATAAATGCAGGTGAATGATTATTATGACTCTCAAATGGAAATCCAGCAACGTGTCCTGGGACTGATCCAACAGGGACAAGGTATTATTTTCAAGAGAATAGTCCAAGCTCTTTCCAAATATCACAGGGCCCATTTCCCTCATATCAGTGAAACCTCCTTGACACAAGTGAGCAGAACCACACTGCTGGCAGCTCTCTCTCCCAAGACAGCCAAGAATGAGATGGGGGGAGTAGGTTCGAGTTTAATGATCCCACTGTGCCTTTTGGACCCATCTAGTTATAATGCAGTGAGAACGCAGTGCTTGTAACCCTGTGCACATCCATGTTTCCATCTTGGTGGTGCCAGCTGCTCTGTACAGACCATTTCAGAGACCTGAGATCTTGCTGTCCTGTCTTCCAACAGCACTCCTCCTAAAGGCCAGGGATCACTGTGCACTAGCCAAAAAGAAATGTGGACAATTTGGAGAGCAAGGCTGGGTCCTGCAATTTGCATGCACACACAGACATGCGTAATTGTTTTAAGAACTGGTTCACTCTGTTAAAAAACTGTGTTTTTTTCCCTCTGTATCTCATTAATTCCCCTGTCAAAGGAGCCCAAATCCAGGCCACGGAAAGCATTCAAGCACTGCAGGATGAGGCACTAGAAATTTCATCCAGCTTTTAGAGCCCTTAGAGTAAACCTTTGAGCAAAAAACACTTTTTAAAGCATATGTAGCCTCAGGCAGGTCTGA